GATCGATATCGATCCAGTTCAACATGAAGAAAGTAATCAACCCATAGCCGTAAAAGCTAAATATATAACTTGTAGGTCCAAGTGGTAGGCCAATCTTTCCGCTATTGGAGAAGGAAGAAATCAAAGCAACAAGGATGGACAAGATCGAGGAAAAAGATGGACAATATCAGCCCCCCAATGGCAACCTATCTACTAGCAGTAGGCAACACTGTCATCGCTATCCTATTATATCGATCCAGTTCAACATGAAGAAAGTAATCAACCCATAGCCGTAAAAGCTGAATCCATCCCTTGTAGGTCCAAGTGGTAGGCCAATCTTTCCGCCATTGGAGAAGGAAGAAATCAAAGCAACAAGGATGGGCAAGATAGAGGAAAAAGTTGGAAAATATCAGCAGCCCCCCCCCCCCATGGCAACCTATCTATTAGCAGTAGCCAACACTGCGATCGATGTCGATCCAGTTCAACATGAAGAAAGTAATGGAAGCAACAAGGATCGAAAATAGCCGTAAAAGTGGAATCCATCGCTGTAAGTCAAAGTGGTAGGCCAATCTTTCCGCCATTAGAAAAGGAAGGAAGAAATGCAAAGCAACATGGATGGACAAGAGAGGGGAAAAGAAGAAGAAAAAGACACCTACCCAATGTAGCAATGACAACTGCGTTGCCGCTCCAAAAAGTAATTTCACAGGTTCCAACAGCACAGAAAAAGGTATCGACGATGCAATCAAGTCCAATAGGATGCTGATGGCTGATTTGCAATGGATTAAAGCAAAAGGAAAAGCAATTAAAAGTCGATTTTGGCCTTCCTTGCTGGCCAATTTTGCCTTTTGGACGACGACGGCCAACGGACGTGGATGGCCAACGCTGGCGAGCTGTTGGATACTAGAGGTAGCGCTGTTGCACTTGAACTCAAACAGTAGTGGCGATAAGAGTGATTTGTAAGAGGATGTTCTTGATTGTATACTAGCCTATAGGATGATTGGAGTGCTATCCACGACCAACCCTCAATAGGATCCCTTGTACAGGATTTCTATCCACTTTCATCCCATGTTAGCGCTGGTAGATAGCTTGTATGATCTTGACAGACAGAAGGAAAGAGGACGGACGCGCCAGCTTGGCTTTGGCCTGGCCACGTCATGGTGTGGCTGAAACACAGCAGAGTGTAAGTGCTATTTGTATGGAAATCAAGCGACAAACAGGATTGTATAGTGGATCAGTGGTCCAAAAATAGGCAAATACTCTTCTCTATTCCTTCTCCTGCAGGTATATCCTCTAGTATGGAGTTGGATAGAGTCGATTGCAGCCTTTGCCTCTCCTGCAAACGGTGGTCATGGAGATGAGCTCCAGTCTTGCATACTCTACTCTATTCCCTTTCTTTTAGCTATGGAGTTGGACAGACTCGATTGCAGCCTTTGCGTCTCCTGCAAACGGTCGGTGGTCATGGAGATGAGCTCCAGTCTTGCATACTCTACTCTATTCCTTCTCCTTTAGCTATGGAGTTGGACAGACTTGATTGCAGCCTTTGCGTCTCCTGCAAACGGTCGGTGGTCATGGAGATGAGCTCCAGTCTTGCATACTCTACTCTATTCCTTCTACTGTAGTATGCAGTTGGACAGAGTCGATTGCAGCCTTTGCCTCTCCTGTAAACGGTCGGTGGTCATGGAGATGAGCTCCAGTCTTGCATACTCTACTCTATTCCTTCTCCTGTAGTATAGAGTTGGAAACGGTGGTCATGGAGATGAGCTCCAGTCTTTCATACTCTACTCCATTCCTTCTCCTCTAGTATGGAGTTGGACAGAGTTGATTGCAGCCTTTGCCTCTGCTGCAAACGGTGGTCATGGAGATGAGCTCCAGTCTTGCGTGGGGCATTTTCTCCTTTCATACAGCTCAATGCATTCTTCAGGAAGGTTGTTTCTGTTGCATTCTTGACTATCGGTACTATACTGCCTCCAATGTTTTGTATGGCTTGAAATCCATCAATCATGATCACGCTATCCGATGATACTATTCAAGGCAATCTTGTGCAAAGTGGTGCAGGGCATGCTTTGCAACTAGCAACTGTACTGTAGCAATGTGTAGCATAACAACGATTGCATCCAATGTAGACCTAAGAAAGGTCATGAGTGGTCATTGGGCTCCTTTACCTCGAGCTTAAGCGCAATAGTACTCAGGTAATCGTAGCTAGACGATAGAGGCTACTGACCCCACGTCCACAAATAAAGTCCAATGCAGCATGATGGATGCAACTCATTTCTTCGCTCATCATTTGTGCAAAGTTTTGTTTGTTGTCAGGCACAGTACTTCTAAGGTAGACAGTATGCTAAGTCACACTGCTGTGGTTGCAATCATACTAGTATAGTAGTACAATCAGCCATGTTTGCAAGTTCACTCATCTCACGTCAGAAATAAGTCCAATGCAGCATCATCCATGCAACTAATTTCTTCGCTCATCACTTGTGCAAAGTTTGTTTGCTGTAAGGTACAGTACTTTTAAGGTGGAGACAGTATGCTAAGTCACACTGCTGTGGTTGCAATCATACTAGTACAGTCAGCCATATTTGCAAGCCCACCCATTCCACGTCAGAAAGAAGTCTAATGCAGCATCATGCATGCAACTGTCGTCAGTTTCATTTCTTCGCTCATCACTTGTGCAAAAGTCTGTTTGTTTTAAGGTATACTGTATACTAAGTCACACTGCTACGGTTGCGGTCATACTAGTACAATCAGCCATGTTTGCAAGCCCACTCATTTCACTTCAGAAATAAGTCCAATGCAGCATCATGCATGCAACTGTCGTCAGTTGCATTTCTTCGCTCTACTGTGATTGCAACCATACTAGTACATGTAGTCATGCATCCATATTGGATTATACGGATAACCATATTTGATATAGTTAGGTTACTTTGAATAGATATGATCATGAAGCTAATATTAAATGATTGCTAACTACTATGTTACAAATTGTTGATGACTAATCGTAGCCAGTTGACTCATTATGGTACAAGATTTAGGTAGCTAGAAACACTGTCGTTGTTAAGATGCCCTTCGGAGAAAGCAGCTAGACGTTCATAGAAGAGTAGGAACATCTCAAGTGCAATGATTTAAATGGTAGAAAATAATGATGTGTTATTAGAGAAAAGTATTTTGTTTGATGACTCATGTCTGATTGTAGATGAATCAAGTTGTCATCGATGAATTGAACGAAATGTTTATAAGAACTGCAAAGATGAGCTGGCAGGAGAGAAGAGACTTCACTTCGCTTTGAGCTCGGAATACTTTGGATTTTAGACTCGATTCTTGTAGTAATTAGTTATTGCTCTACTATTCCTAAAACCTTGTAATAAAGCCTTTTAGAAAATACCATTTGACGAAGATAGTTATTGTGAGACGGATTTATTATAAGTAGTACAGTCAGCCATGTTTGCAAGCCCACCCATTCCACGCCAGATAGAAGTCCAATGCAGCATCATGCATGCAACTGTTGTGAATTTTATTTCTTCGCTCATCACTTGTGCAAAGTTTGTTCGTTGTAAGGTACAGTACTTCGAATGTAGAGACAGTATGCTAAGTCACATTGCTGCAGTTGCAATCCTACTAGTACAGTAGTACAATCAGCCATGTTTTGCAAGCCCTCATTCCACGTCAGATAGAGGTCTAATGCAGCATCATGGATGCAACTGTTGTAAGTTTCATTTCTTCGCACTACTGTGATTGCAGTCATACTATAGTAGTACAGCCAGCCATATTAGTACAGTAGTACAATCGGCCATGTTTGCAAGCCCAGAAATAAACCTAATGCTGCATCATGTATGCAACTGTCTGAATTTCGCTCATCCCTAGTACCAAAATTTTGCTTGTTGTAAGGTACATACTAAGTCGCACCACTGTGGAGACAGCCATTCTACAGGAGTACAGTTGGCCATGTTTGCAAGCTAATTTTCTTCTTTTGGCGTTCAACATCGATGTATACAGACTAATACAGATCATCGAAGGATAGCACAGCAGCGTCCAATATCACAACAACGGCAACTCTGCAGCTGCTTCATGCTAAGCCTGAGTTCCAGCTGTGCAGCAGCTCGCAATCACATCCAATGCATAGAGATATGCAAAGCCTTCTGCAATACAGTACTGGAACAAACGACCAAGTAGCAGCTGCTGTAAGTGAGAATCAGCTCGACATGCTTGCTCCATCTTTGCCTACCACTATATAGTATTAGATAGTCCATCGACTTTGGTGTGAGCACTTAGGATATAGGTATCAAGCAAGCCACCAAAGTATCCTACGACGCACATAAAATGAGATAGCAAACCAATCGCTCTACAGACTCTTGCTAGGAGATCCATGAATAAAGTCTAGTATAGCATATTAATTATTATATATATAACATATATACGATCCAGTAGCAGCTGCTGTAAGTGAGATTCAGCTCGACATGCTTGCTCCATCTTTGCCTACCACTATATAGTATTGGATAGTCCATCGACTTTGGTGTGAGCACTTAGGATATAGGCATCAAGCAAGCCAGCAAAGTATCCTAAGACGCTCATAATATGAGATAGCAAACCAATCGGTCTACAGACTCTTGCTAGGAGATCCATGAATAAAGTCTAGTATAGCTGCTGTAAGTGAGATTCAGCTCGACATGCTTGCTCCATCTTTGCCTACCACTATATAGTATTGGATAGTCCATCGACTTTGGTGTGAGCACTTAGGATATAGGCATCAAACAAGCCAGCAAAGTATCCTAAGACGCTCATAATATGAGATAGCAAACCAATCGGTCTACAGACTCTTGCTAGGAGATCCATGAATAAAGTCTAGTATAGCTGCTGTAAGTGAGATTCAGCTCGACATGCTTGCTCCATCTTTGCCTACCACTATATAGTATTGGATAGTCCATCGACTTTGGTGTGAGCACTTAGGATATAGGCATCAAGCAAGCCAGCAAAGTATCCTAAGACGCTCATAATATGAGATAGCAAACCAATCGGTCTACAGACTCTTGCTAGGAGATCCATGAATAAAGTCTAGTATAGCTGCTGTAAGTGAGATTCAGCCCGACATGCTTGCTCCATCTTTGCCTACCACTATATAGTATTGGATAGTCCATCGACTTTGGTGTGAGCACTTAGGATATAGGCATCAAGCAAGCCAGCAAAGTATCCTAAGACGCTCATAATATGAGATAGCAAACCAATCGGTCTACAGACTCTTGCTAGGAGATCCATGAATAAAGTCTAGTATAGCTGCTGTAAGTGAGATTCAGCCCGACATGCTTGCTCCATCTTTGCCTACCACTATATAGTATTGGATAGTCCATCGACTTTGGTGTGAGCACTTAGGATATGGGCATCAAGCAAGCTAGCAAAGTATCCTAAGACGCTCATAATATGAGATAGCAAACCAATCGGTCTACAGACTCTTGCTAGGAGATCCATGAATAAAGTCTAGTATAGCTGCTGTAAGTGAGATTCAGCCCGACATGCTTGCTCCATCTTTGCCTACCACTATATAGTATTGGATAGTCCATCGATTTTGGTGTGAGCACTCAGGATATAGGCATCAAGCAAGCCACCAAAAGTATCCTACGACGCTCATAAAATGAGATGGCAAAACAATCGGTCTACAGACTCTTGCTAGGAGATCCATGAATAAAGTCTAATATAGCATATTAAGCCATTTACCGCAAGGTAAACTACGCCCCATAAGCCCTATCGGATCCATTCAATAGACTCAGCACCAGCTCTCGTTCTAGCACCCACCCTATCGTCACTATCGTCATCAGTAGGCAGACGCAAGGTTGCCAATCCAGTTGAAAGGGTTGCACCCAAATTGATCGCTTGCAGCATTGTTAGCTACGTTAAGAAAGCTCCATTTCTCCTTCCATTGCCATGATATAGATGTTATTGAAGGCTAATCTGCATGGCAAAGCTATTTTTATTCCATTAAGAGTGTTATTGCATCGATATTCCATTTAACGCTGAGTTGAATTCGACCCAATCAATTTCAATTGCATTCATGGCGGACCAACCTCAAGCTGCTGATGAAACCCCTAGCAAATATGGCAGGAAAGCTTGTGCTGGATTAAGACAAGAGTTAATCGATTGTTTATTGGCTAGTGATTGTGTGCAAAAGGTAAACTTGATCTTCTTCATCTCTAGTGCTAGGATACAAACGATCTCTTTCACTTGTGTTGAGTTTACTCTAATAACTAAATCACCTACTGTAGACTGATGGACTGGCAATAGGTAAGGTAGTCAGCAATGAGAGAGCGAACTAGCTCTTTACTCTTTGCTTTGTAGGTTACCACTCCTACAAATAGTCTAAAGCTGTATCAAAGTACATTGAATCATCCACTACAACTTGCCAATGATGGATCATCTTTTATTCTAGCACGGTAGGACCCCTAAGGAATGCCTTAAGAAAGAAAATCAAGGTGTCCCTTATGAATGTAGAACACTGCAAAATTCATTTTTCGAGTGTAAACGATCGCTGGTAAGTTGCTAGGATATGCTATTAAACTCATGCTTTCACTACAAGCTAGTAGTACTAGGGATACTACCCTATGTACAATTGTACATATCATGCTTGGCAACTACATTTGTCCTTCGTCAACTGGTCCATTTCAACGTAGACAACCCTTAAAGCATACATTTATCTTTCATAACTGCCTACGGTTCAATCTCACAAAAACAGAATGGGTTATACGTCCATACAATATCCTATATCAATGCAATATGAGTTGTTGTTACTCTTCAGATGGTTGCCAGTACTTGCGTAAGACTACATTTGCCATCGATGTACATTTCTATTACATAGCATTTAACCCTTACCTGTTTAATCATTGCCTACTATTGGATTTGGTCAAGACAGAGTTGGTTATACGTACAATAGCATATGCCGATGAGTTACTATCGCTCTTCAGATTGTTGCCAGACCTTGCGTAAGGCTACAGTTGCCATCGATATTCGTATACTCCTTTCCATTTCAAATAATTGAACCCTTCTACGAGTATATTTCATAACTGCCCTGCTGTTCCATTTCGCAGAGACAGAGTTGGTTATACGAGTACATACAGTATCATCTATCAAGGCCGTGAGATGTTGTTGCTCTTTAGATTGTTACGAGTGCTTGCCTAAGGCTAGATTTGGCATGGATATAATTTTTCCATTCACATTATTCAACCCTTACATGTTCCATTGCTGGCTGCTGTTACATTGGGTAAAGACATAATACGTTATGCGAACGACATATCAACGCTATCAGTTGTTGTTGCTCTTCAGATGGTTACGAGTACTGGTGTAAGGCTCGATTTATCATCGATACTCTTTTCCATTTCAAATAATTCAACCCTTACATGTTCCATTTCGTAGAGACAGAGTTGGCTATATGTACAGTATCATGTACCAAGGCAATGAGTTACCCCTGCCCCCTTTAGATTTACCATGGAGATACTTTCCCATCTCATATAATTAAACCATGATAGTCTATTACAGTCGATGACTAGGTTCGATTAGTGCATGCTAGAAATACCTTAGACAGCGCTCGCTAGACGCGAATGATCATGTCCCAATGTTGCCCTTTCAATTGTTACGAGTACTCAAGGCTAGATTTGTTAGGATATACTTTTCCACCTCAAATAATTGGATGTACTTTTCCTGTTCAACCAATGAAATCCTTAAAAGTCTATCCTTTTGCTCGATAAGGGGGTGCTACTATTCGTTATAGTATCATGTGTCATCGTGATAAATTACTGTAACATTGATCACAGCAAGCTGATTTCAATTATAACTCATGAAAAGACCTAGTTCTATTCGATAAATGCCAATTGATTGAACTGATATACCGGTCGTTATACAGTACTGTAGTTCATAGGCTACTAGCATAAATGACCATTGAAATGCATGCAGCCAGCTCGATGCTTGACAGTGTAATTTATTAAGTGCTACATAGCTGTAAAATAAGACGATCTACTGTATAAAAAATAACACCCAGGTTTACTTGATATTTAACTTTTCTTCTATCTATTTACTGTTTTAGTTGGATAATCGAACTCGATTCCGTGGTAGCAAAGGATACTAAAAATTGCTCTTTAAGAAGATGCTATCAATTCCAATTACTTGCTACAATGAAAAGAAATATTTCCAGTTTTAACTTGGCCAATTTTATATTACTATAATATTGAGCGTTACTGTTGTACTAACAGGATAATGGTCCATTCAGTTTATGCTATTCCTGCTCTTACTACCCAAATAATATTTCGTTTTGCTGCTACGACGCAAGACATTTTATGAATGCAGTGAAATCTAAAAAATTTTTCCCAAAATAACAGATTTCATAGTAGGCAAGCATTACATCAAAATCTCAGTATAAATGCCATACAGCATCTCTTATAGAATAACTATGTTCATTGGATTAATAATAGTGTTTCATGATCATTCACCCTGTATTTGCTAGTATATTAAATTAAAGTTAAAGCATCACTACCATAAATGCGGTATCATTATGTAGGTACGGATACATCGCATGATATAAGAGCTACGATGATATCGTAACATTGATAAACGGGAAATATTCTGTTAGCATCGTATCAACCCATTCCAAAATGACTGCTGTAGTTTATTATAAAATATTATCAACTAGTGGCTCATCACTTATAGAAACGAAGCATGATAAAATTGACCCTCAAAACTTTAATGCATATCTGCAAATACTGTACTTCAGATAACTGTTAGCCGGCATTGATGAGTAGGTAAAGTTTTATATTAAATTGCTTCTAACTCAAATCTGATGATCAATCATGTCCTCAATACTTTTAGCAAGCATTCATGAGTACGCAAGAGTTTATATAAAAATTGCTTCCAACTCAAATCTGATGATCAATTATGTCCTCAATACTTTTAGCAAGCATTCATAAGTACGTAAGGGTTTATATAAAAATTGCTTCCAACTCAAATCTGATAATAAAACATGGCCTCAATACTTTTAACAAGCATTAATGAGTGGGCAAAGTTCATATAAAAATTGCTTCCAACTCAAAGCTGAAGATACAATTCATCCTCAATACTTTTAGCAAGTATTGATGAGTAGGCAAAGAACTTTATATTAAAATTACTTAAAATTCAACTCTCATGATAAAATCTGTCCTCAATACTTAACAAAATTGACTACAAAATAGCATAGGCAATGAGTTACCAGCGTTGATAAATAGGTAAATTTTTACGTAAAAGTAATTTTAAAACCCAACTTTTATAATAAAATATATCCTCAAGACTTTGATAAATGACTACAAAATAATTCAGACAAGTAGCCAGCGTTGATAAATAAATTATCTTTTGTTAACACTATATCTAGCGCGTGCATATACGCGTATATAATCTATCGCAAAGTACTATTTTATAACGCACAGCTAACTAGCAAGCATTGATGAGTAGGTGCAATACTTTGTGAAGAAATTGCTTAAAATCCAACTCTCATGATAAGACATATCCCCAAAGCTTTGAAAACTAACTACAAAATCGGCCAGACGACCAACAGCCTGCATCAAGGAGTAAATTACGTATAGATATAGTACGCGTATATATATATATAAATATGCCCTCACCACTTGAATAAATGCATCGAGGTTGACGAGCAAATTACGGTTAGATATCAGTAAAAAATACTGTTATATCGAGCAAGCATAAACAAATATTATTTTTTTTGCAATGCATAGCTGGCTATACCAGACCATGGTCTGGCCAGCGACTTCTCGATAGAAATGATTCCTAAAAAATGAAAAATATAATCTATAAAAATGGAAGTCTTTCTTCCATTTTTGAGGAATCGTTTTTTATCGAAAGTCCCTGGCCTGACCTACTAATCTTTATACTACAATGCCAAAAATGAGTACAAACAATGCAATTTTAAATCTACACTTGGACTACAGTTATTTCAATTCGTTCATGACCTAGTAGGAGAATTCACTGTCGTAAAACAAGCTGCCAGCGAGATAGTAAAGACAGGAGCAGAATGCAAATTAGTCATCCATGTTGACAATGGGCTTGTTGCGTAGGTTACCATAGAAACGCCATAACACTCCTTTATGATCGGGTTGCTAATTTCGAGTAGCATATTCAACTTTACCCATATATAATATTATATGATCGGGCTTAAAATAGAAATATCACTTTACCTAAAGCTTTAATATCAAATCGTCTATTAGTAGTGACGTAGAAACATACAAATACAGTTGAAATTAGTTGGAAAGTTAGCAAATCGCAACTGGTTAAATCCACGATGGACGTCTAACTTATTCGCCTCCAGCCTTTACTTTATCCTACTAGAAAAACCGAATTGATTAGGTATTGAAATTATTAACCATTTTATTCATCAATCATACAGTATCCAAAATAGATCAAGCCAGTCTTGAGTGAACAACATTAAATCCCTCTTCTACTTAAAACATTACACCTTAAAAGACGAAGCTACGACCTTCAAAAAAGTTGAATTTGAAAAATCATCATAAAGTATCTGGAATTTGCTGCCATTATCCAATTTAATTAAGCAACCTCTTCAGAACAGAGTACTGGATAAAAATAATCGATTTATCTCAAGAAAAGAACGACCGAACCATCTTGAATACAAGATATAAGATTATTAGTAAATAGTCTAGTATCAACTTAATAGTATCAACACACAATTAATCTCATCAGTCATCAGGCAGCGTTTTGCTCATTTTATTCTTTATTCCTTTGATTTTGAACTATTTCATCCTTCAATCAAATCTATCCAAAATATTACCCACACATTAAACTAGTCATCGTATACTGTAACTATTTTATTTATCAAAAAACTGTACTCCAATTGATGAAAGAGAAGCAGATAACTCCTGTTGGAATGGCATCTTACGATTCACGGCAATCATCGAAAAGTTACAGTGAAGATGACTATTCTACTTATGACGATGACTTTGAAGATGGTAATAGCTTACGTAGTCGATCAAGATCAAGAACACCTGAGCGAGCAAAATCGCCTCGAAAAGGCCTTAAAGGATCTACCAGCAAGCTTTCAACCAATAGAGCAAGTAAGTCATGTATCTCTGTAAGTAGGTCAATCCTGCTTTGCTAAAATGATTGGTATAATCAAATCATGGCGTTAGAAATACCAAGAACGGGTAGTCATCAAGTGTTAAAGTGATAAAAAACTTTTTTACATGATGATTTACAACAGAATAGACTGTAACATAAATTAAAGATAAATTCTTCTAGGACTGTTTGGGTTTAAATAGACGTAAACTGACTCATTTTGATGATCTGCTTTCATGATGAACCAGCAGTATGATAATAGTCCTATTTTTTGCTTACTAATTACAAAATGATAGCAAGATGATGAACTCACAGCAAGAGTACATATGCAATCGCTAGAAATATGGAAATTTTTTCAGTTTGAATAATCTGGTAAATCCCTAACCTACAACACGTTTTAGTACTGACGTTGACAGCTTTAACTTGCCAATCTGAACTTGTTGTCATTAAATTAATACCTACTGTATAGGCCAAACTCAATCTTAGACAAAAAAAAAATGGCTAATTAGTATTGTGCTCTTTTTTAGTTTTGTTCAATGTTTGAGTATCATCACAGACATTGCAAATTAAGAAATGCGTCCGATTAGTGCATTGATACAGCCACCGATGGAACGAAAAGAAATTTTTATTCCATTTCTACATATAGGAAAAATTGATAGATACATTACACTAGTAGTTTCGTCAACTAATACAAAATTTGTCTTCTATAATTATATTTAATAGCATCATTCGTTTCTGTCCAAGTTATCCCGTTCCTACGTTATCCTAGGCAATCATTAATATAGATTTACCTTTATTTTAATGTTTATTAATATCACTGGATGGATACAAAATTAAATATAACCACAACCTATTTTGAGGGAAATTGCAAAGTCATTAAGGCAGAAATAGCCATACTATCACGATAGATCCATTTTAAAAATTCTAATTATGACTTTTTTTATTATTGTCATTGGATTAGAAGGAAAAAATAAATCCAAAAATGCCAAAAAAGTAGCCGGACTTCAACGTCACTATGCTGGAAGTGCTACCAATAATTACACAAGTAAACCGAAAGATTTTGTCGCTCAACAATTACTTAATGCCAATCGTAGTGTTATTACCGAATTACAAGATAAATTGGCCGACATGAAAAGACAAATTAAAGACCTAAAAGAAGAAAATAAAATCCTTAAAAATGTCCAGCAACGACAGTCTAAAGCCTTGACTAAATACGAAGGTCAAGATGCCGAGCTACCAAGCTTAATTCAAAATCATATGAGGGAAGTCAATAATTTACGGGAACGATTAAGAAAAACCCAAGAGAATCTACAGACTTCTCAGCAACAAATGAAGGAAAAAGACGATCGATTATGGAAGCTAGAAGACAAGAATAAAAAATTAAAGGTATTAGTAGAGGATAACAATTTGGCTGAGAGAGAAAAATTATCCACGGAAGTAGATGAACTTAAACAGAAATTAGCAGACAGAGACAAGAAAATCATGGTTAGTCTAATCAACATCATAAGTGTAACTTGATTTTTCTTTTTAATTACGCTATTCTACGCTAATGCAATACTCGTATTAGACTATTAGTAGGAACATGATTATTCCATCGGTAATCGTTTTTTATTCACCCATTGAATTATTCATATTAACGATAATTTGCGGTACCATAGCGAATCAGATCATCCAATATTTAAACACAATCAATATTCATTTCTGGATTTAAATGCAAAGTCCAGATAGCCTCTCTAGTTCACGATCGATCGCGTTTCAATTCTAAACCACAGATTAATTACAGGATAAAATTAAGAGCTGCAGCAGTGGCATAATATTAGCTTCGCATATTAAAAGACAAACCTTCTTAATTTAATGGCAAAGTCTATCGCAATTTCATGTTTGATAGATCGAGATTGTGAATGCTAACAGTCGCAGTGAAATATGCGATCAATGCCTTGCTGTAAAATGATTCTAGACATTAGCATTTTATATTAAAATATAGCCTGGTATAAGTTACTGCAATTTAATTGAATC